TAATGAATCTGTAAAACAATTTTAGAGATCATATGTAATTGTAAAGTTAGTTGTGCATATATATTACACATCTTCAGAAACTAGGTTGATTATTTGGTCCAACATGCCTTCAAAAAATAAAATACTCCAGAGACTGCATGGAATAGTTTAAATAAAATTTCAAATTTAAATATTCACATCATGAATTCTATAGCACTAACAAATATTTTCTGAAAAAGAAATTACTCTCTGAATATAACTATACATTTCTCTTAATTTTAATAAAACATTCTCAGACTTGATTATCTTGTATGGGGAAACACAAATAATAGTTTTGGAAAAAATTTACTATTGATGAAAGTATTCTCATACAAAATATGTGACTGATTTACTATCCTATTTCTATTTTAATATTGATATTTGTTTAAGTTAAATTTATATGTAGAAGTGTACATAACATATATTGTTAAATCTGTATTGCGAAATTCCCACCTATTCACTAAAATTGTAGAAAATTCTTGAGTGTAAGAATCAACAATATATGTGTGTACATAAACATTGGTGTATTGTTTATATTGTTGCACAAGCTGAAATTTCAAGAATCTCTCCTCACGCCTATATATATAACCAATGTGATGCACCAAAAGCCAGTATATATTATTGGTTTGCTATAGTTGGTGTACTATAAATCTCGGAAGCTATAACTGTGATTGTTATAACACTTCTTAATCAGCAACTTCAGATATTTGACCAGGAACGTTTATAGATTTCGAATACCACAAACCATTTAACTTTAGCGGATTATCATCGGACATTAGTATTTTTATGAAAATATTATATACCTTCAGCAATGGATAAATCAGCATGTGGCAGTGAAGACTGAAGAACACAGAGCCAGCTAGCTTCCTGTTATGTGAATTTCTTCTACATCTACTCAAAATTAATTCACTCATTGTAAACCCTCGATAAGATATCGAGGAAGTTACAGACCAGATAGGGAACTAAATATTGTTTGTAAGCTTGTAAAACTTTTGGACATAGATCATTATTTGTAATAACTGTTATTGTTTGTATATTAAAATATAGTTGTATTAAAAAATTGTGTGTATCAATCTTGTTGGCAAGTATCATAAATTGGATACACATTGACATTTATTTAATTTCTAAATCTAAATTATCATTTACCTCAGTTTCAGGCTATTAGAAATTATAATACATTACATAATAAGTTAGAGATTCATCTGGGGTAAATTGTAATATGTAACAAGTACCATTCTAGACACCAAAAATAGCTGGTGTTTTCCAATTTAAGCTAGATTTGGTTATATGTGAAGTTATGTACGTCTTTTAACAAAAGATAAAAATGTAATGTTTCATATAAAAGTGAAGTGCTTGCATGTGCCCTATACCAAGTTACAAATAAACAATGCTTATTGTTTGCAAAAATAAAAACTGAAAGATATACTGTTTTTGCTCCAAATAAATGGTAAAAGCAACATGACAGGATTATCAGCACACACACCTTCTAAATATTAGGTCGTCAAGAAATTAATGTCTTTTTTTAAATGAAAACAAAACATTTATTAAATGAAATACTCTACATTCTTATCAATGACGCTTTTCCATCTTACAATCAGGTCATTAATGCCCTGATTAAAGAAATCACTTTAACACCTTCCACACTTGCATATATTTATCCATTAAGATGGTGTTGCAGTAAACGAAAAAGATGGTAATCTGATGATGTCATACCTGGAGAATATGGTGGGTGGGGGAGAATTTCCCTACCTAACTCCATAATCTTGTGTTGTGTCAAACATACCACATGTGGACGTGCATTGTCGTGAAGAAGAAGAACACCTTTCTAATTGAAAGTGAAGAGCGTTTCTGATGAAGGGCTTGATTTAAACACTCCAGTTGCTGACTATAGATCTCTGCATTGACAGTTTGCCGT